AGTCTCCTCACATGCGAGCAGCAAAACACCTAAACTGCTAGAACGCGTACGATAACATCATCCACAAAACACACCGGTTATCCGCACCGTAGGCACGAACTACGTTGCTCTGATTTCTCTTGCATGTTGAGAATACGTAGGCATAGGATTGCGACAATCCTAGCGAGCACCCTTTTCTCTTTTTCACCCTTTCCCATAAAGGCATGCTACGTCCGTTCTACCGCAAACAGGTAACGTATAAGTCTCCTCACATGCGAGCAGCAATACACCTAAACTGCTAGAATGCGCACAATAGCATCGTCTACCAGAACTTCCCCGCTTTCCCGCACACCGTAGGCCGAACTACGGCTGCTCTGATTCTTTACTTCTTTTAAGTAAAGATACGTAGGCGCAAGGGCCACAATCCTTGCCGAGCATATTCCCCCTATATCCGTAGCCCCGAACTACGTCGACTTTGACTTTCTCACATCTATTGAGAATACGTAGGCCTAGGACCGCGAAGTCCTATCGAGTCCGTCCTTTCTCTTCTTCCCTCGTTACCTCTCTTTCCCCCCGTTTCTAACCCTTCTCTTTATCCTTTGGAACACTCTTTTAAGCATAATATTTAAGCAAATAAATTCACACATCGACAAACAAAAGGTTCCCATCGAGTACGATGGATGCGAGGGGTGCTAATACCTTCCCTTCGCATAACCGGCTTCCGAACCTGTTCTTGGTTGCGAGACCATCTTATCCGTTCGTTTCTTAAGGTTTTCTCGATATTTTCCCTTCCCCTCATGGGATAAATAAAGTTCGGTGGCGACTCTTTTGTCCTTTCTTTTCGCCTCCCCGTCGTTGCACGATGCATTTTTCGAGTAGCGACAAAGAGTACACAGTGCAGAGATTTATGCACGCGACTACGGAGAAGTTGTTCTTGTTGCCATATAACACTGGCCATGGGTTATATTTTATTCTAAATTCATTTATTATAATTGTTCGATTTTTCCCTTTCTATATATATAACATTTCCGTCTAAACTGTTATCTTATTTTATAGTGGACATTGGTTGTTGATCGCAATTAATCAGACGAAAGAAATAGTGTATTATATAGATTCATTGGATGGCGATACAACAAAATATGAAAATCTGAGGAACTTTGTTGATACGTAAGTGATGACATATACTGTTGTCTTTAATTATATATCTTTATTTATTATGTGACATTGTTCTAAATATGTGTTTATATTATGTTAGAGTTATACAAATATTCAGAGCACAAAGAGATGCAACGGTGCCAAAAAGGAAGGCTAACAACATCAACTGGATCAGAGTAGAGGTATATTCTCGCATGTTTCTACTTGATAAAACTATTTCAACTATATATCCGGATAAATGTTCGTTTGTTTTTTCCATTTACAGTGTCCTCGGCAGCGCAATGGTATTGACTGTGGATATTTTGTATTGCGCTTTATGAGGGAAATTATTCTTTCTAGTCAACTTGAGATTCCAGTCCTGGTATGGATCAATTCATTATATAAGTTATATGATTCATTTTGATAATTATTCGATACTTCATCTGAGTAATTAGTTTTAAACTTAAATCTTATTCGATCTGTTATATTATGTAGTATTATGATGAATTCAAGTGCGCTACTTACACGAAAGCAAAATTGGAAGAAATTAAAGAGGAATGGTGTCAATTTATTCTTGGGTTGAGAATTGTATAGAGTTATCGGATTGGAAGACTTGTAATTATATGTGAATTGAATGTATTTGTGTTGTTGTAATTCTGAGGATCGAATTTTGTTGTAACATATTTAAACAGGTTTATGTGTATATTAAAATGTTTATGAACAAAGTCATGAGTTACAATGTATCCAAAGTTTTGAATTGTACATATAAGGCCAAAGTTTGAATCGTATATTTAAGGCCAAAGTTTGAATTTTATTTATAAGGCCAAAGTGCTGAAATAAAGGCCTTAATTATAAGCAGGTTTGTGTAATATAAGCAGGTTGTTGGTAAAATATACAAAACATGGTGAATATTTTATAAATTTTTTTTTTAAAATCTAGGACATTAGACAGCGCTTTTACATAAAAGCGCTGCTAAAGATCACAAATATTACGCTACAAAAGCGCTGCTATTGGTTTGGAAGGGGGGGGGGGGGTCTAAGGCAGCGCTTGTAAAAAGCGCTGCTAAAGGGTGGGCTATGGCAGCGCTTTTGCTTTTGCTGCTAAAGGGGGGGGGGGGGGGGTCTAAGACAGCGCTTTTTTAAAGCGCTGCTAAAGGGGGGATGGTTGGGAGAATTATGCAGCGCTTACAAAAGCGCTGCTAAAGAGCTAAAAAAGCGCTGCTAAAGGTGCTGCTGAAGGGAGCTTTTAGCAGCGCTTTTTCATTGAAAAAAAGCGCTGCCTTTACCTTTAGCAGCGCCACTTTTTGCAGCGCTTTAAAGCGCTGCTAAAGGTCTTTTTTGACATAGTGTATATATATATATATATATATATATATATATATATATATATATATATATATATATATATATGTATATATATATATATATATATATATATATATATATATATATATATGTATTGTGTTGTTGTTGAAAGAAAAAAATAAAAATAATATGTTATGTATTTTTAATTAGAAAAACAGAATATTTATTAGAAACAAATTAGAAAAATAGAATATTTATTAGAAACAAATTAAATATGTTATGTATTTTTAATTTTTAAAAACAGAATATTTATTATGTTAGAAAAAGTAGAATTTTTAAAAATATTTTTAGTAAACAATATTATAAATAGAAAAAGTTAAAATATATTTTTTAAAAAACATAAAGAATATGTATTATATTTAAAATGTGTTATTTTTAAATGTATTATTTTTAAAAAAAATATTTTTATTAAAAAATAATGAATATGTATTAAATGTGTTATTTTTAGTAAATCAATTATATATATTATAGAATATTATATTATTGAATAGTTATTATATTTTAGTAAACATAATATATATTATTTTAGAAAAACAGATTTTCAAAAATAATGAATATATATTATACTTTAAATATGTTATTATTAGTATAATATATTATTTTAGTGAATTTATATTATACTTTAAAAATAATGAATATATATTATACTTTAAAATATATAGTGAATATATATTATACTTTAAAAATAATGAATTTATATCATTTTAGTGAACATATTTTATTAGGTTGGCGTCGAAATAGAAAAAATAGATTTAAATTACATATTTTATTAAAATGATATATAATGATAGTACAAATGTGCAGTATGGAATATTTTCGTTACTACCGTAGTTGGATGTACGATAGAACGTTACCAGGCAGATGTGGACTTACGCCAAATTTTGAGGATGGAGTTAAGGGGTTTATCACGTGGGCATTTGCACAAGAATGTTGTCGACGTGAAGGAGGAGTGGGATGTCCTTGTCTTAAATGTGAATGTAGACCTATAACTAGTGACCCAGAGGAAGTAGAACGTCATTTGAAGAGGAAGGGTTTCATTAAAAATTATTGGGTTTGGACATATAATGGAGAACAACTGCCGAGTAACGTATATGCAGAGATAACTAATACACACGCATCAAGCAGTCGATCACATATGGAATTTGATGAACAATTTAATATGATCGATGAAATGGTTGGAAATGCACTTGGAGTAAATGTGACATATGATGAACCTCAGGATTTTGATGGGGAAGAGTTGCCGAATGAGGAAGCACAAAGATTTTACCAATTGTTGAAAGAAATGAATACACCGTTGTTTGAGGGGTCGGCAGATTCAAAATTATCAATGTGTGTGAGATTATTGGCCGCAAAGTCAAATTGGAATGTTCCTGATCATTGTTTGGAATACTTTGCAAAAATGATGTTGGATGCGACTCCTACGAAAGACAACTTGCCTACAAGTTTTATGATGCAAAGAGGTTGGTGTCGAAGTTGGGTTTAGAAGTACGAAAGATTGATTGTTGCATAAATGGATGTATGTTGTTTTATGACAATGAGTTTGGTATTAATGATGAGGCGCTGGAGGAATGTAAGTTCTGTAAGAGTATGAGATATCAAGTTCGTAGTAAATTCATTAACCGTAAACAAAAACGTGTAGCAGTGAAGTCCATGTTTTATTTTCCGATAATACCAAGGTTAAAAAGATTGTTTGCTTCAATGCATAGTGCAAGTCAAATGACATGGCATCATACAAACAAAACATCTTCAGGCATTATGCGGCATCCATCTGACGGTGAGGCATGGAATCATTTTGATAGGGTAAATTCTGATTTTGCTGCAGAACCTAGAAATGTGAGGCTCGGACTATGCTCTGATGGTTTTACTCCATACGTCCAAGCATCTGCAATTGCATATTCTTGTTGGCCAGTTATCGTAACCCCTTACAACCTCCCTCCAGAGATGTGCATGACAAAACCATACATGTTTTTGACTTGCCTCATTCCAGGACCGTCAAGTCCTAAATCCGGAATCGACGTTTATTTGCAACCTTTAATAGATGATTTGAAGAGGTTGTGGATTGGAGAATGGACCTATGATATATCTCGCAAACAAAACTTTACTTTGCAAGCTGCCTTGATGTGAACTATTAATGACTTTCCCGCTTATGGAATGTTATCAGGTTGGGGTACGCATGGAAAAATGGGATGTCCACATTGCATGGAATTTACAAAGGCTTTTACTTTGGAATTTGGAGGGAAAAGTTCGTGGTTTGACTATCACCGCAGATTCCTACCACGACACCATGTATTTAGAAGAAACAAGACTGATTTCAAAAAAGATGTACGAGTAAAAGATTTGCCTCCTCCGCGATTGTCACCAGAGGAAATATGGAATCGAGTTTCTTAACTGCCAAAATTTACAGATTATGGTGAAGCATGCAGAATTGAAGGATATGGGGTCAAACACAATTGGACAAAAAGAAGTATATTTTGGGACCTCCCATATTGGAAAGATAATTTATTGCGACATAATCTTGATGTTATGCATATTGAAAAGAATTTTTTCGATAATATATTTAACACAGTGATGGATGTTCAAGGCAAAACAAAGGATAATGAGAAGGCTAGAAGGGATATGGAAATTTTGTGTGATAGAAAAGAGTTGGAGTTGAAGCCTTGGCCTAATGGAAAATTATTAAAACCTAAGACATGTTACAATCTAACTTCCCAAGATGCTAAAGCGGTTTGTTGATGGTTAAATGAATTGAGAATGCCGGATGGTTATGCATCAAATTTGGCAAGGTGTGCTGACACCAAAACTGGGAAGTTGCATGGAATGAAAAGTCATGATTGTCATGTTTTCATGGAACGATTGCTTCCAATTGCGTTCAGTTCACTACCCAACCATGTGCTATATCCTCTAATTAAAATAAGTCAATTTTTCAGAGATATTTGTGAATCAACATTAAGAGTCGATAGCATCATTAAGTTGGACCGAAATATTCCAGTTATTCTATGCAAGTTGGAACGAGTTTTTCCACCTAGTTTTTTCGACTCTATGGAGCATCTACCTGTGCATCTTGCATATGAAGCCTATCTTGGAGACCCCGTTCAATACAGGTGGATGTATCCCTTTGAAAGATTCATGGGTGATTCAAAGCGATCAATGAAAAATAAAGCTAAAGTTGAAGGATCAATATGTGCACATTATTTGCATCGGGAAACATCACATTTTTGCAGTCATTATTTCAATCATTTGATGTTAACTCCAAGAATCATAAGGAATGAATTTGATGTTAACAAAAGAAGTCAATTTACCTTGTCAATCTTTGGTCTTCCCGGTCGCCCTTCTGGAAAGGATAATGTGCATTGGCTGACCCAAAAAGAATTGCAATCTGCACACGTTCATGTTCTAATCAACTGTATTGAAGTTAAGCCATATCTTGAGTAAGTATACCCCTAACGTAACTACCTATCTAGCTTTACAAATTGAATTATTACATTCTAACTAATAATGTGTTTCTTTATAGGGCATTTAACGCGTTCTATTTTCAAAGCACCGGTGAACAAGCAACTACCGGTCACATACATGCATCTTTTCCAGCATGGTTCAAGGATCAATTGTCATGCATTGTTGCACCGACTCAAGAAATACTTCATTTGCGAAACTTATCTAGAGGGCCTGTTCAAAGAGCAATTGAATGACAAACATACTTTATGAACGGCTATAAATTTCACACCCAGGCTTGGACAAAAGGGAAAAAAACCATAAATAGTGGTGTATTTGTTAAAGGAGTTACAGATGGTGGTGAAGACGACTTCTATGGCGTTGTTACGCATATTTACGAGTTGGCATACAATTTCTTGGAATCGGAAAATAAAGTTGTCTTGTTTTATTGTGATTGGTATGATCCATCTGCCAGGGGCACAAAAATAGATAAGAAATATAACATTGTTGATATTTGAATGGATAGAAGGTAAAAAGAGTATTATCCTTTCATAATGTTACATATCGTTAAACAAGTTTATTATGTCCCGTACCCTTCAATTCAGTCACGTAAACGTGGATGCTATGTTGTAATCAAAACAAAACCATTGGGTCATATTAAAACTGACGATCTAGTGGAAGATGCTGCTTACCAAGAGCATGAAATTTCTCAAATTAATGATGTGGTTGAAGTTGAAGAAATTACAAATTTTTGTGATACAATGGCCGAGGGTCATTAAATTGATGCATCTGTGTTGTTGGTAGATAATAATGTGGACGAAGAGCATGAAGAGTTTAGATCTGAGGAAATTATTGGATCAGATGATGAAAATAATATGGACGAAGAGCATGAAGAGTTTGAATAGATAGTTTTTATATGTGTTCGAACAGTTTTTATTAATGTATTATTTGTTTTATATGAATGCAAATGATTTTTACGTATGTATATTGTGTTGATAATAGTCTTGATTTATTTACGTATTATTTATTTATTGATAACTCTTTCAAAATAGATACAATGCCACCCCGAACTGACAAGGGTAAGGCTAAGGAGACCCAGCCCCGTTCGAGAGCCAGAGTACGTGAGGTACCGCCCTCGCCCATGTATGCTTCTCGCCCACAGACTCAGGCAGATCTAATGTCCGTAGACACTTCACAGCCATTTACGACATTGCTCTCCTTCTCCCAAACGGTTCCATCTGGGAATCCATCGTTTATTAGTCCGTTTGGGGGATCCTTCATGCATCCATATACATTTACGCAGCAGTCTGGGGGATCTAGTTTTCCCCATGTACCATCTACGTTTACGCAGAAGTCTAGGGGATCTAGTTTTCTCGGGGGACCTATTTTTCTTCCTCAGCATTATTCCTTCACACAGCCTGGGGGATCTGTTTTTCCTCAGCAGTATTCCTTCACGTCGCAGCCTTCAGGATCTAGTTTTCCTCAGCCGACTCCCTCCACGCACCAGCCAGAGGGATCTGGCTCCCGCATTCCATACCCCACACATATACCTGTGCGTCAGCAGCAGGATGACCATACTATTCAGGAGGATGACGATGTTCATGAGGAGCAGAAAAATCCTGTTGCAGAAGAGCTTTTGGTGGTTGAAGGATGACATCTGATTAGGCCTGAGGGATCTGGGTATGTTTTTAATTTATAATATTTATTTAGCTATATATTGCCATTTTATGTTTAATACTCGTTCAAATTATTGTTGTTTAGTTTTGATCCGTGTCGGCCTGCTGCAAAAGCCGTAAACTGGGTCATTCAAGTGATGTATACAAAACTCATTAAGTCTTTCGGAGAGCTCCCAGATACTGAGAAAGATATATGGTTTGATAAATTCAAGGTAAATTGTATTTTTATTATAGTTATATTGTTATTTTATAACTATTTTTTGTTATATATATCTAACATTTTATTTTACTATCATATAACTTATAGGAAAGGTGTACTTGGCAAAAATTTTATGAGTTCAAAATTAATTTTTTTTCCAGAAGTAAGGTATCTAGCAGATTATCTGACATGCTCAGGAATGATAGACAGCGTTGGAACAGAGATCAAACTCGTCCTAACTGGATAGACGAGGAAATATTTAGGGAACTTATTGAGTGGTGGAAGACAGAAGATTTTCAGAGAAGATCTGAACATGCTAAAAAGATGAGGGCATCTGAAGCAGGTGGCTGTCTTAGTACAGTTGGAAGTATCAGTATCGGCGAACATCGTCGACGAATGGTAATTATAACTATTTTTTAAAATTTTATTTTGTATTATTATATATTTAATTAAACTTCATTATTTTAATTAAAAAAGAATTTGGGGAGGGAGCCACGAATTAATGAGCTATTTGTGAAGACTTGAACCAAAAAATTGGGGGAGTTTGTTGACGGCCGTTCCAAATCAACCTTGGTAACTTGTTTATTATAGTTGAATTCCTTTAATTTCATAATTACTGTATATAATTAAATTGTTTAAATTATATTTAATTTAATTTAATTTAATTTTTTTAATGTGTGTGTAGGAGATGTACCAAACCTTGCTTGCCCAATTTCTAACTGAAAATCCTCAATATGTGCCGATTGGGAATGCACCGCTTGATCCACGCGTGGATCTTTATATTTGGAATTTAACAGTAGGCGGGAAAGGAGTCAATGGATGTTTTTTTGGTCTGGGGTCTTTGGCTGGCGATTATAGAAAAGGGGACCGAACTTTATTTCAAAGACTCGATGATGGGGAAGGAGGATCTCGTCCGCCAGAATTGACACCAGAAATGTTGGCAACAGTGAGACAGTTAGCTCTATCTGAGGCGAGACGAGAGGCGGAGGCACGTGAGGTGGCCTTAAAGGTCGAAATGGAGAATATGAGAAATAGACAAAATGCTGAAATAGAGGAAATGAGGAAGCGGCAATCAGACATGGAGGCACAAATACGAATTTTTTTTTGCCTCGAGATCGGATTATTCTGTCCAAGATGATGAAGAAGACGAAGATGCACAATTCACCGACGAAGAATAACTTTTTTTATTATTGTTTATATTTGTGACGTGAATATTACGTGACAATATATTTTTATTTTTTTATATTTGTGACATGAATTTCATGTGACTAAATATTTATATTTTTTTAATGTATATTATTTTAATTTTTTAAATTTTATAGTTAATATTTAATATTTATTTTACTTTTATAGCTGTTTTCAGTTAATATTTATTTTTATTTTTTTTATTATTAAATTTTATAGTGAAGTGCAAACAATGTCACTAATATAAAACATATTTTCGTTGTGGCATGTATATCACGTCACTAATTAGTGACGTGAGAATCACATGGGAAACAATTTAATTAGTGCTAGAATTAACGTGCAAAGCCAGTGAGTTCCCACGTGAAAACCAAGTCACAAATTAGTGACGTGGGAATCACATGGGAAACAAATTTAATTGGTGTCAGATGGGCGTGCAGACAAAATTGGTAAAGGTAGGTTCCCACTTGAATATCACGTCACTAATTAGTGACTTGGTTTTCACGTGGGAACTTTTTCTCTTGTTTTTGTTATTTGCGACGTGTGATCTATGTCACAACTTTGTGACCTGTTTTCCACATGGGAAAATGTTCCCACCATTGCATTTTCGACGTGTTTTATCCACGTCGCAAAAGTTGATCAGTGAAGTGATTTTTGGGTTAGTGACGTGAAAATCACTTGGGAAAATGCAATGTTTCTTGTAGTGTTTAGAAGACTTTTACTTACAAATAAAACCGAAGAGAGTATGATAGTTTTGCCCAACACAAAGTGATTTTTTTATCAAATAATTTAATGCTGAAATAATTTAAATTTTAGAGTTAAGTTAAGATATTGTAAAGTAAACATGAATTAGACCCATTTAAACTAGTTTAATTTAATTTAGATAAGAAACTTTTTTTTACTGATGCGAAGAAAAGGAGAATGGACACTCATGCTATATTGAGTGTGGTTAGGCAAGAGGAGAAAATGAAGGTTTTTGGTGAGGGAAAAGCCTTTGTGCTTTTTTTGACATATGTGATTGCATTTTGCAGATAGCATGGACAAAGTAAGCAAGTTGAATATGTTCTATAGCCTTATGGATGCTCAAGGAATTTGGGATGTTGTGAATACTGGAACTCCTGCCCTTGCCTCCATTCCTTTGGTCCTCTGGCGACCCATTGCTTCTTCTCCTACCTCGACTACAAGAGATTCTGCTCTGTACATAAGGTGGGTCTTTTTATGGACTCTACAACTACTTTCAAGTGGAGGAGCCAACCTCGCATATGGTTTCAATGTAGGGGGTCGTGAGAAGGAACAACAGTCTCCTTCGAATGAGTGATATCTAAAACAGACTCGGGTCACCAAGAACATGCTTCAGGGGAGGTGACTCCCTTCATAAAGATATCAGATATTTACTCTTCCCCGCTTTCACGCACTCATAAAGAGGTTGCTTGCTTCTCATCTTGCTTTTTGCATGTTCAAATATAATACCATTTTCTCTCTTGTCTATGCCAGACGGGGTGATATCTTCTCCTTGGATAATCCTTCCTAGGAAAGGGAAACTTGGAAGGGGAAGGCTGAAGCTATGGAGCTAAGGTGCACTAATATCTAGAAGGAGCTTGTTATGTTGCAGGAGGGAGTTAAAGTTGCTATATCTTTGAAAGTAGTTGCGAACATACATTGTTTTTCTTCTGCTTTGGTTGCTTACGTGACTGAGTTGGAGGCTCCCCTCGATGATACAGAGGAGCGGTATAAGGTATCTTCTGATTCTGTTGAAGAGAAGACCCGTTAGGTGGAAGAGCATTGGTAATCACTTCTTCAGAAAACTAAGTTCAATGCAAACACCTTGAAAACCATCAAAGACGAGGTGTATAACTTGAAGTGGGAACTATGTGATTCTATTTAGCGGACTATGTGAGACGTTTTTGGCGTCTGTAAGCGAGTTTTACAATAGGCAATGAAGCTCTGCTCCGATGCTATGATTTTCATTGGATACATTCAAACCTGCCCCAAGGGTGGCTCAAAGAGGTGGTCCTAATACCTCAATTTCAGATGCTTCAACTTGATTTCCTTTTGTTTTGTATTATTTTACTTTTTGTAACTCTTCCAAAGCTTTTGCGCCTCACTTGTAATAAGTTTTGATATTTAATGAAATATTTTACCTTGATACTTCAAGCATTATTTCTTTCAGAGCTTTGTGTCGGTCTTTGCTATAACATTG